GCTTTCAGTAATTATCCTTGATTTTTTGATCAAAGTAAAATTGTGGCGTTTATATCTTCCTACATGCACTAATCCATAAAATTTCAACAAAAATAAGGCTAAGCTTTTTTCCTGTTTGTATTAGGTTGAAAAATAGTTGTGGCTAGGAGTTTCCCAAAAATCATCAAAGATCTGCTTCAATCTCTTAAGAGGGAATGGATGTCATAACATACTTTTTATTTCATGTTGATTCATTTAGAAGAAATTATGTTAGTGTTTGACAACTCCTCCAAAAGAAAAATCACGGCAGAATCTATGAAATCTAATAAAGAATCTAATAAATGGCTAAACAGCATGAACTCAAGCTTCTTCATCATATTTCATCTTCGCCCCATGGGCTTATCCCAAAGGTGAAGTTAAGCAGTAATTTTCCTCCTAAGAAGAGTGAAAGCTCAAAATAGCATACGCAAATTCTCCATAATCTGTTTTTCTCCAAATTTTTTTCTATTTTGCAACTTACGAGGAGTCAGAGTGCCAAGTAGCCCTTTCGTGAAACAATTAGCAGCCACTTAGCCATTGGTGTGCATGCATCTCGTCCACAGCAAAACCGTCTGGCAGCTTAGCATTTTGAAAAGGAAATTTCTTTTCATTTTTTTTCGTGTTTTTACAGGAATAGGGAAAGAGATATGTGGCCTAATATTCATGTTATATCAGAAGAGCACCGTTTTTTATGGGATGGAAGATTGGCTTAATCCGAGTTTGACCATAATGAAATTTTGTGTCAGAATATAGTAGAAAAGTTGTGCTTTGTTGTGTGTAATTGCACACCAGGCACGTCTTACTGACTAACATTTATCCTAAACATATATGGTAGTGCTCCTTCTAGACAAAATACAACTGTTTAGCGGTAGAAATGGGATCGAAACACCCTGACTGAATAAAAGCAACTATGCCTCATTTTTGACGCCCGCATGGCATATGTTGTGCAACTGCACACACTGCCAACGAAACTTCCTCGACTATAGCTGGCATGAATCATGCTTCAAAGCGGCTATGCTCAATGGTGTCAAATGCAAAGGCTTTGTGAAATCACATAGAATCTTGCATGAATTCAGACTTAATGTCTGATGACGATTATTCGACCAGAAAGCTCCCGCGTTGTGTTGCACTTGGTCATTTTAGCGAATTAGTGACACTTGTCCATTCCGTATGCGACATGTTTGTCTACTTGTGTTTATGCTTTGGATTGCGAAATCTGAATAAGAGTGAGGTGTATAAAAATCATTGTAAATGTTGAATTGCGAAAATATTGCGAATATCCCTAGAAGCTGCTAACTGTTTAGCTCCGGCGGGGCGAAATTTTCTTGCTTTGGGAACACATGCCAAATGTTTATTCTGGGAAGAATAACAAAAAGTTCAGATCAGTGTAGTCCAAAGGCTTGTTTTCATCGTCTGAATTGTAAAATGCAAAATATGTAATCTTAAAACGTCATGTTACTATTTTTGATGAAATATGCTGCTCTTGAAACTTAAGTTTTCTGTGTCAATGTTAGATAAAAACTTTGTGAAATAATGATAAATGGGAATTAAGTGACTGCAGTTATTTATCAGTATTTTATACCTCACAAATTTTTAAAGTAACTTCAGGCAAAAATAATTATAAATTATATCTCCGCTACATTTGCGTGCAACTTGATTTAGAAGTATTCAAATCGAAATATAGGTTTGGACGCAGTTTTAATCCTGGCATTTATCCAGAAATTTCCAGTAACTCAGAACTTCCTTTAAGTTGTTGTCTCCGCATTTCTACTAGCTATCCTTGGATTCCACACATTTATACTCCTACTATTGTTACCTCCGTGAGATTTTCGCGAGGCTAAATAATTTATCAAGGTTTTTTGTTTTGTTGATGCCAACCCGGTTGATACCCCGAAACAAAAGGGAGAATTTACGCCAAGACTTTTCGAGAATGGAAATGAATCCTCTATTCTCGAGCTAACAAAAAACATCACTGACTGGAGTAATTTGCAACTCTTTTATAGCTTATTTCCCTTTGCGTACTCGTTGAATGAAAAGGGGATTGATTGGACGTATTCAATGTTTTGTCAGAACTCACAACTTTCCACGAGTATCAGTTTCTTCAACACATCATAGCTCATCAGGTGAAATGCAGCTGCTCCGATATAGTCTTGAGCACCTATCTAGGTTCACAGCCTATTACCACCCACATACACAAGCTTGCAAATTTTCGTTAGGTTACTTTATGTTATCTCAGAGATCAATACGATAGAAAAATTTATTTAACAATTTTAGGTGGTCCTATAGGTTTTGTACAAAAATCTCGGGTCCATGACCTCCTTCAGCTTGAAGCTGTTAGCGTTTATCCGTTGTTGTCAGAATATGTCCATTTTGTTGATTTTGTTGTTTTGTCGGCTTAGGGTAGCCTATATAATAAATAACAATAATAATAAAAATACTTCCTTTCTGGAATCTCGCTCGCTTAGAATGCAAGAAGGTTCATTAAAGTATATTTTTGCTGCATTTTGCCTTTTTGTTATTCACCCAGCGGATGTAAGGACAATGACGATCGAATGCCTGCACGAGTTATGATTGTAGACTTCTTATTATCGACTTTCCAGTTTACTGGAAATAGATTCTCTATTATGTACAATTTACTGCGTTATGTGTAATAACGAAAAACTACGTAAAAATATGTAATGATTTTTTTAAAACAATCCTTGAACAATTTTTCAAGAATTTTCGGTGCAAGATCAAGCGACATGATGATGTATATTCAGTTTTTTGCACCTATAACTTCCTTTTTACAACACCTTCTCACTAAAGTTCCCATTTTCTATGTTTTACCCAAATGTTGTTCTTGCTTACATATTTTCAGTCTTTCTTATATGTCTATCAACATTTCAAGTCTGTTTCCGACTTACTTCACTTCTACACTCTACATGTCACTCAACAATGCCTCCACCTCCACAATTTTGCTTCATTTTGCATTCGAAATTCAAATTTTTTCTCGGATTCAGACCAGAGTTTTTTCTTTAATGCAGTATCTTTTTGTTGAATTTAGTTCGATTCTTCATGATTTATGTGCTATGTTTTTTTTTTGGATTTTATTTCTAGGTGTATGAGGGCGTATTGTATCTAAAGTGATAAATAAGACTTCTTCAAACCTATTACAAAAAATGTATAAGATTATACGGTTTTGCAAACACATTTTGCTTTTGCAAATCCTCTTCGTAAACCTTCTCTGATATTACGATTGTATTCTGGAATTTCACCACATTCTAGAGAACACTGCTTAGTTTTCAGAAAAAGTTGAATTACTTTTGGCAAGCTTGGAGTGTAGCCAAAATTTTTCCAGCAATTAACCTTACGAAGACTTATCGAAAAGTTCATCCGAATGTCCTATACTAGTACTAAAGTGCAAGATTTTCCAAACGACTATAAGTGACGGCCTCAAAGCCAACGACTAAGTACTTTTATACGGCATGGGACATCTATCTAAAGTTGGATGTGGGGGGGGGGGGGAGGGGAATGAGTTATGCACTCGTGCACGAAAAACGCCTTTGCACATGTATCTTGTTGATTTCAGAACCCTGTTCAAGCACTTTTGCAGTCAGGTATTGTCATAAATAGCCAAAATGCATTTTTTGTTGAACTGAAGGAAATAAAGTACCAAAAAATAATTATGTTTACGTGGTTATAATTATAATGATGTATTGTGGCAAATATAAGTTGCTTAGCAATCACATAACTTTTGATGAGAATTGCCTGCTCATGGTAATTACAGCAGTGAAGAATGAATATTGTCCACATCCTGAAAGGTTCAAAAACACCGTTAAGACATAATTTTCCTTTTCTTCCCTCCAAGACAACATTTCACAGCTGGATTTTTGAACCTTGCACGATAAGTTTCCGAGCGCGCAAATTTTGACCTACCTATTTTTACATAAACATTTTCGAACACCCGCTACCTCCCTATACAAATAAAAAGACAGTCTTTTTTCCTGCGTCATGCTCGTCTGCAACTTCCTATTTCACCTATGAATAATTCTGTTCACGGGCTATAATTTCATGTCTCTATATAGCAATTACGCGCTTCGTACATATGTGAAAGAATGGTAGTAATCGTCAAGTACGCCAAGTCTTGCAGACGGCATTTGCTCAAAGATAGTCTCTGACATTATTTTGATCATCTGAATTTCTTTGAAAACAGCACTATCCAATTATATTGTGAGAAAAAGGAAATTATACAAAGTTTTGAAACTTTTTCAACTGGTAATACCATTGAGTTTCGCTCTCTGTTTTTTTTTTGAAGTATCTTTTTATAATTGCACTTCAAAAATCCGATTAAAAAAATCCGTTCTTGTTACTGATACCGCTTTTGAATCTCTATCATTCTGTTTTGTCCTTCCTTTGCAAGATAATAAATCATATCCTAGGTTTCAAGAACATTTGTTAGCCAATGTATATAGTGTTATTACCATTTTTCCTGATGTCCGATGTACTAGTATAAGCCGCAGAATCATCGTTATATTTCTCACGGTTTTCTCCAATTTTGAAGAAAATGAAGAAGTGATTTATTTCCAAAAAATTTCAGGGTAATATGCACGCAATATCCCTTTCAAATATGGAAGCCCATTCGGTTATTTGTGCTGCGTAAGCCAAAAAATTTTTATTTAGAAAACAACTTTCTTACAAGTAAAGGTAGCAGAATGTAATCCATGTAACACCTATACCTCAGAATTTTTGGAAAAGAGAAGAGACATGAGATTTTTTTTTAAGTTTTTGTACTAGTAATAACAAAACACACTACCTGGATAAGCTCAGCTCAGCTTAAGTCTCGAAATCTACAGCAAAAAATGTTTTCACCTTGACAACTTTCCTGCATTATTTTCGTTCCCTTTTTTTGATAAAGTTTATCAGAACCCTTCGCTTTATGATATCGTGATTTATCTTATTTTTATCATCAAATAATTATACTTCAGAACCAAAAATACTCCTCAATGTTTCTCATTGCCAAGATTGTACGTGGTCGACGGCTTTTACATGAGCTCGAACAACAAGAAAAGGATCAGGCCGTTCTCGATGCAGCACAAGCAGCAGCAGCTTCTTCTTCGGTAAGTCCTTAGCAAAAAAATTCCTCGAATTTTGGCAAAAATTACTAAACTAATTAATTTCGAACCTAGGCTTCGTGGTAAGACTATTTTCTAGACCACCAAAGCCAATTTCTGCTTTATACAGTGGAAATCTACCGGAAGAAAATTCTGAGAACATTATAACCTTGCTTGAAATCTGAAGCTTCCAATTTGGTCATAGCATTCCATTTCAGAGGACCACAGCGCCTCGATAAATTTTTTTTAATTACAAATATATATGAAGTGATTTTTAGTGAAGATTTTACCTTTGCGTGTAAATGAACCACGGTGTGACATCGTTCGTTCCTTCACTATTTGAAAAAATATAGTAAATTTGCCCTTGATGATATATCCTGAACAGGATAATACTCATCATTTTATAGTAAGATATATCCTCCTTCTACATATAAATAACTAATGAGTAAAACAGAATATGCTCGTTGCTTGAATATTTTACAATGAAGACGAATTAGAAACATGCTTAACCCATTGACGAAGACGCCTAATTTTGCGTGGCAGCGCTGAGGACGACGCGATTTTGCACAACACTTCCGGCGTGGGAAAGTTTTGTTGCAAAAAACTGGAAAAAATACTGAACTGTGGAAAAAATACTAGGCCTAGAAAGTATATAATTTTGCAAGGGGTGTGGGCCACAGGTAACCCACATCGTCCCTGGAGGCAAAAAGTGCGTGGGCCACCGGTGGTACACATCGTCGTCAATGGGTTAATGTCTTTAGTGACCTATCATAAATGACGGTTAGCACGATTTCAGTTTATCCTCACGTAACTTGATGTGTCGTGAAAAAATGCCTAACCTAGGACTATAGAAGCCCAAAAGTCTTTTGTGGAACATTTGAGAAATGATGAATAAAGAATTCGCACTTGAAAGACATCAATTCAATGGTTGTATGTTGTGAATTTTAAAATCATAAAGCAAATGACTATGACGTCATCACAAGCCGCAAATTAGGGCAAATTATTATTGCTTTAGGGGCCACATTAACACCAACACTTGGACTGTAGTGCAATTCAAGGACATGACGTAGCACATCTGAAATTAAATTACTTAAATCTTCCAGGAAACTGTTTGCAATATAGTCTGATGGGATTGACCTTGACCATTGCTTAAGTTCAGCTTATGGATCGCAAAGCGGAAGAGACCTAATTAAGACAATTTTTGTATTTGAACTTCATGTTTTTTTTTCTGAAAATCGGCGAATCAAAGTACGATTAAGAAGATAATACGATTAATTGATGTTGAGAAAACCGAATTTTGTTTTCCTTTGAATTGTTTCAATGCTGTACGGTTGTCACTCTCACTTCCAGGGACAACAACAGTCTCGACATCGAGCTAGTCGTGACGGAAAGGAAAAAGACGAGCGTGATGAAGAGGGTCAAAAAAGACGGAGGTATGTGTGATAGACGGATGTGGGACTTTTTGCACAAATACACCGTATTCTACCATGATATCATGGCGCAGAATGAAAACTATATCCTTAGCGCTTTTTCGGATAAGCGGTATCACGGGGAGGAGCTTGTGCAACGACATTGAAGGTTTACGGTAGTATACTGTAAGCGAAAGAAAGGACCGTTTTGCTGTGTATCGTCAGTCCTTATATCTTCCATATCAAACCAGAAAACATTTTTTTTATTGATCTTTCCGGTTACGCAGCTAAGAATTTGAGTAGTTGGAAATAGAAAATTAAGCAGAAACGTAATATGTAAGGTCTTGATCGCTTTTCCTCAATTTTTTACACTCAGTTTTCAATTATTACAGATTTAGTTCACGTAAAAGTGTGAGAAGGAAGACGAATGCATGCGGATCTATTGACTTAACTCTGGCTGTAAATGATCGTATGGCGATGCGACGGACAAGTAGCATGCCAAGCATATGCGAAACTCTGGAAGGTTAGAACAAATACAATTTAGTAGATTTAACGCTTAATATTGGGTCCTGCGTTGATAACAACACTGGTGCGAGGACAAATGTCATGATGCCGGCAGCTTACCTGCGACTTGTCGGCAAAATGCCATAGAGCGCACTTTGACATTGTTCACGCGCAACTGTTATCGGCAACGCAAGCACCTTAGATACATTGAGCGTCAATTTACAAGGCTGTACATGTGATGCTTGGATTTGGTAATAATATTTTGTGCAAAACACAAGGTTTCCTTTTGCTCAAATAGCAGCAACCAAGGCATATTTTTTATTTATTTTTCATATTCTGGATAAACTTCATATTAAGTTATTGCAATAAAACTACCTTCCATTCTAATTTGACTTCATTTAGTTCCCAAACGCACGCCCACCTCTTTGAAACATTATGACTATGAAAGTAAACTGAATAAAATGCAAAGGAGATCGCTTCGTTTCACTTGGCATCGCCTTCACACAAGGAATGGAGGAAAACGAGTGGAAAACGTTTTTGAAGAGGTAGGCTGGTCATAAGCTATTTCAGGTTTGTTAAATACTCCACAAATATTCACTGTGTAAAATCTTTTATCAAATTTCGGCGAACAAGCGAATATTCATACAGCGTAGATCTCAAAAATCTTTAGCAAATTCTCCACTAACAATTAGCACAACGGCCCCAAAAAAAAAACCCAGTGACCAATTTTTTTGCAATCGATAGTTTTTCTTATAGGTTCTTATCTAGATTTTCTGTCTGGATAAAATGGGTTGGAAAATACTGTCTTTATTCCTTTATTAGGCTACTTCATCTAGCCAGAGCTTGAAAGCAATTAAAAGCGCGAAGCAAGCGGTAATTACTTGGTATAACTGAACCCTCCCCTCTGGCTCAGCCCGCCCACTCACATAGACGGTACATTGCGCAGGGCATCGCATCGAGAAGAACACACCTACTCGAGATGAACAGCTGTCAATTGACATTCTCACGCTTTTCCGAGCATATCCTATTTCAGCGCAATAAAAAAAAACCCTATAAAATATCAGACGCCTGATGTAGAATTCTCACACACCATTTCAAAAAACTCATAAATAGAGCCTAAAACAGCCCGCCCGCGTTAAAGTATCAAATTTGGCACTCAAACTAATTTGTTTGTTCAAGTGGACGAATTTTTCAGGTGTTTGATCGGTTAGTTCGAGCGCTTCCCTGTGTAAGGGATATGTTTGCAACGCGGATGTTTTTGAGCGCCATGTCTCGAAATGAGACAGCTTCATTGAGAGATCATGCTAAGGTGAGTATATATCAAGTAAGAAGCTATACATTGAAAACAAAAAAAGCATTTCTCAAAAGTGTAGAATGACACACTTTTCCACTAAAAAAGGAGTTCTGAGTAAGGTTCAAGACCTCTTATGCACATAGATCATCTAAATATCCAAAAAAAATTTTTGCATTTTTTTTTCTGTACAGCACATAGCAAAAAAAATAGCCAAAAAAAAGCTCTCGTACAAAGTGCACCTTCATTATAGCCGACCGAAAGCAGCAGCAAATTATGTTCTTATACTGTAACTCACAAAAAATCTTGTATGTTCTTAATAGTGCATAAATTGTAATGTTCTCTGTCACTCCAAACACCACCAACGTCCACAGCAAAAGTGAAGAACGTAGAATTTGCAAGGCTCTAACTTCATTCGGGAATAGAAGATGGAATCACCCAGCCTATTGGTCTTTTTGCTTACTGAGACATAGGAAACTTGCACAGTACATGTGCTGGTTGAAATGTAGCGCAAAACAAGTGGGTGTCGCTTACTGTAACATTCAAATTTCGCGCGAGTTCTGTGTCATAGTGCTGGAGCATGGGCAAGTAAGGAACACAGGAGAACCTCAAATTCTCCTGAATTCTGCCATATAGTAACTTCCGGAAGTCCTAGACCAAAATTTTGCCTATCTACAGGGCACATACAAAGAACAATAACTTGTTTTTCAGGTGACAGTAAAAATGTTTGATTTGATAATAAAGAATATGGATGCTGAGCCCCACAAACGCACGGACACCGGCTTCCCTCTGGATCCGAAAATCATAGGTACCGTTTTGATTCTCGCTTTTCCATAAAATTTAGTTGATATGCACCTGTTAGGTCGTGCACATGGACCGTTACGCCCGTACGGCCTTACTGGACAATTTTGGGAAAAGCTGGGAGAGGTTATAATCGACGTCGTTCTTGGTCAAGAAGCTGTGCGAGATTTGCCAGGAGCTGGACAGGCCTGGGTAATTTTCACGGCCTGTTTGATTGATCAGGTGAGATAAAACAAGGGTAGAAAACGTTTCTTCGCCGAACGCTCCGCCGCTGACAACTGTTAGAATCTGTAGAGACAATGAACGATATGTGGCAGATGTCCGCGCGTGCACAGCTTGTGAGCGACATAGCGTCTCCTAACAAGAATATTGCGATTAACTTATCACGCACTTCCAGATGCGCGCCGGCTTTGATGAGAACAAAGAAGCTTTTCCCATCTTCCCTAAACGTGAGACTGTTCTACTCGCTGCCACTAAACATCTCCACGATACGGTATTTCCCGCCAAATCGAAGCAGCGACATACTGTAGGTGTCGATCAGTTTTCAGGAAGATTCGGAAGAACAGGATGACAAAGAGCAAAATACAAGCACAAGCACGGCTGTGCAGCAGCAAAGTACGTCCGTTTCGGCAGCTCAAGCAGCGATTCAAAGACGGAAGTCTGAGGCAGACGGATTGTTGGCAAAAAACAAACAATGAATTTCCGCAAAGAAGTGTCCTTATCGTGTATGTCAACATATTGTAAAAAATGAATAAATTTTGTTTACAGTTAATAGTCATTTGGATAAAACGGTGACTCACTAAGCCATGGCCTAATAGTGCGAAAGCCAAACTCACGTTCGCAAAAAAAATATCAGAGAATGCACGACAAAAGCGTCGATAGATAAAATTTATCCAATCTGCAAAGTGATACAAGGAATTGCCAAAAGTAAAGATATGTAAAACAAACAATGAGTACGGAAATAACATATCAATCTTCTCAACTACTGACAAAAAAATCAATAAGAATTAGTAAAGCTTCCTCAAATATAATTAAAATGCGAAAGTAAAACGGTAAAGGCAAATGAAAATAAATGTATGACTGAAGATTCATAATCATGGCTGCATAACGAATATCCCTATACTGATTAGATTCACTGTCACAGGATTGCCACCGATAAATGAGCAATGATCGACCGGTTCCTAATCTACGTACCTTATACCCTGCACAACTAATATGCTTTTTCACTTCACTTCGATAACCATATCGATCATGGCAGCTCAGCAATTTTCGATTAAAAAACTCAAAATCTTCGCCTCTACTTCTATCCTTGGATTATTCAATCGTCCTTGAATTCAGCCGCTCCAAGAAATTCTTCTACTTCGCAAACCGCATTTGGTTTCTTAGACATAGAATACATACTGTATGCAGATTGGCCAGTAATTTCCTGAAAAATATCAATTACTACCATTTGAAATGTTGACAAGATCTGAGAACCAACCTTCTCAATGGTGAGGAAATCTGGGAGAGGTAGTGGTTCGCCCTTGGGAATGGTGGTGTAGGTTTCAAGAAACATCAAATGACCGTCGATTTGCAATGGGCATGCGGACGGTGGTAGTACGGTATAGATATCAAGATTGAAGTACTGTAAAAGAAAAATGAATAATAATGTATGGTAAGAGTATGAGATATTGTAACAGTCAAGTGACGGGAGAATGACACAAACTTGTAACAAACGAACCTGTTGGTAAGAAAAACTTGAATTATGAATCAGCTCACCTGGCTACCAACCATGAAACATCGCCTTTGTTTATGAAGCGGTAAACGGCTTGTATCTGTCATAGCCTGATAGCGCATATATTCGCGGAATGTAATTTGTGTTCTATAAATAACTTCCTTCATCACGTGCAATGAACTACCGGAGAGTATTCTGACCTTGTTTCCACGAAATCTTTGCCTGACACGAGATCTCGTTTGGTTATGGAATAGGTCGAACGACCATTCTGCTCACGAGAACGAATGCGAACCTACAAAACAGAAATCGCAGCAGTAACTTCGACTCAGCGAAGATCTTGTATACACCTGCGACTTCGGATTGTCCGAAAGGAGATACTGATGTTTGATGTTGAACTGCTCGTATTTGACAAAACGACTTTCATCAATCGATCTAACCAGCCATTTACGCTTCCTTAAAATAGAGCATTCGGAAAGTGACTATTAGGCTTATTATAGGTAAGATACCTGCTGTTCTTGCTAAGGCGATCTTGAGAGTCGACACCTGTACGATCGCAAACAACCTAAATTGCACATTTGGTCTATATTTGCAGTAGAGTACAGGATAAGTGCTGAATTTCTGCATTTGTGCAGAAAGTGTGCCGAAAAATGGATATATATTGGACTTGCACCGCGACTTATTCAGAAAATGTTGAATACTTACTTGAATCAATTTCAAGACTTTGTCCTCAAACTTTCTACATTCCGAGTTGTCAATGATGTCCACATATGGATGACCCAACCAAACCTAAAAACTATAGCCATGTAACTAGCAGACATCTGATAAGCACTCATGCTTAAGAACGTATCTGATATAGCAACTTCATAAGATATACGGAAAAAGTATCACAGTCATATAAAAATCTACCTTCCTGGTTTTTTGGTCCATTTGTCTCGCAGCTTCAAGATTTTCTTTCCTAGTGGTGTTGTTAGCAAGTGTGTAGTATTGTTCCGCTCCATCTGCAGCAGTTACCAGATGCACAACCTGCAGCAAGCAACGTTAATCATCGAGCGTAAGACGAAAAAAGACTTGTACCAGGCGCACACACGCGCAAATGAAAGAACTTTCCAAAGTACCTGATCATAACGATTGTTGAGGAGATCAAATTCTTCCACACCGATTTCTTTCAACATGCGTAGCCAAGAATCCTGCAAAAGCGAAGAGTAATTACACTGACTAATTCAGCTCAGCATCTATAGGAAATGGTATGCTACACAAGTAGAGCACAATGGAATGGTTGCAAGTGAAAATTAAGACAGAAATGATCTAGTATAAGACTACGACTTGTTGCAAAGACTTACGCGATCAGTGTACGCGGAAGGATCCATTCCACCACGGTCACAAATTATCAAGACGTTACGATCAGTGGTTGCGGCGGCTTGGTTGAAATATGTCTAAACAGAGCACTGTAACTATGGTGAACTAGGGTACTGAGTTCACTGTTAATGGACTACTGAGACTTATCATAAGCATTGCATGATTCCATTCAGGTACTACCCTTACAGCACATGTGTTACGGGACAAATAGAAAAAAGTTGAGGAACTACCAAAAACTTACGTTTTCAATTTGAAGCATAGTTTTAAGCAGATCCTTTTGAAAAAGGTAGGCTTGATCATAGTTCAACTCTTCAAATTTAACTCGGCCTCCAAATAGAATGGTAGCAGTCTCAGGCACAGTGTAAACTTTCCAACCGATATTCTCGAAAAACGTGGCGAGGCGATCCTAAACAAAGCAATGCAGTTGTAACTGATGAAGTTGACGAATGATGCTATCTAAGGTACATGGCATACTTAATCCATTGATCCGCATGATCGACTGCGCTACTGCACAAATTAGTGAACTGATCTATAGCGAAGTAAACCAGGTGGATCAAGTGGACTAAGCATGGCGCGTGCCTAACGAAAATTATGGATGTAAATTAAAAATTAAACATACAGTATATATTCCGAACTTCATATTCAAATCATCACACTGCAAACTGAGTACTGAACTCGTACAAAAAAGCCAGAAAGATTGACAAGTAGAAATATAACAACATCTACCTGCCCAGTGGTTTTCCCTCCGCATGGTCCACCAGTAAGCACTAGCTTGTACACTTTTGGAGTCTTCAATGTACCAGTCGGACATATTTTTCCCGGCATGCCGCGATCTGTAACAGCAGTTCCAACATTTAATAGAAACAGTTAGGTAGATGAAAATACAATCCAGTTCACACTGCACAACCACCCAAAGAAGCTTATATACATTATTGAAATTGTTTTGTCTTGGAAAATTATCCGAATTCTATGCTGCTGCCTTAAGAAGGAACTTTTTTACGGAAGCTGACGCATTTTGACTCAGGCTACTCACGTGCTATGTCACAGAACTGCCAAGATTGGAATGATAACCACACCTACGCAACGACAGAGTTTGAAATGAAGCATCATTAGTCGCTTTTTCATGACCTCCGCGCGGATCGGCAGCATTGTGAGAACTACCACGACAAAGACAGCAAGCTTCGATTAGAAATAGCAGCTGACGTTCATGTTTTCTTCGGTGCAGAATATGGAATTGTTAATACGGGGAAGTAAAGGTCATATATACCAAAGCAGAGATAAAAGTTTATGTAAACCAAAAACTTGCTCCTATTTCGACTGTAAATACGTCTCAAAAGACTTTTGCGAGGTTCTCGTGCGAGACGGCGAAAGTCGCTTGAAAGTTTTTTGAAAGAGTGTGTACTGACTACAAACTGCTCAACGAAAGAGACGTTGTTGAGTTCGAGCAGACCTAATTTGTCTAGCATCCAGTTGCCAAAATCATAAAACCCAACTGCTTATCAAAGACGAACTGAAGATAATTGATTATTTACCGTTACGCGCTTTCTCAAATGGAACTTTGCGCACTTCAATTCATTGAATTTTTTCTACGATGAGCATCCAAATCTGCTCGGTGATTACCCGGCTCAGCATGGAAAACCTAAGGCAAAATCTCTCCGTTCAGGTTAGTGGCAATATTATGAGAGAATAAGGCAAACTGAATAGCTGCGAGTTGCAGTTTCTGGAATAATCGAATGAAACGCTTCGATGTGAGACATAGCGTGCTAAACCTTCTGAATCACAAGAAGTTATAATGGGCAAGAAACGTCCGCATCATAGCTTCGAAAGCTATGGAACAAGGTGGATGCGTGTTGAAAGTGCGCGACCAAACCGCATGACATCGACGACATTTTCACACAATGTATAAAAGAGATTCAAAAAAGATAAGATTCTGCACGATGACATTTTCTGCAACATTCACTTGCAGTTCAAACGAGACAAAGTCTATAGAATCCGAATAAACCCACCTTGCACCCCCCACGGTTTCTAGCGAATTACTCGTTGCTCGTAGGTGGAGATGGCAAGCTTCCACTATCACAACCACATCTTATTCAAAAGGCAAGGGCTCCTGAAATGAGAAATGAAAACCACGCTTGATATAGTGCGACCTAGTAAGAGTCAAAATGTATACTCACCTATGAATGCCGTACAAATAAACGAAGTAGTGATAGTTACGTAACCAAGCAACGGGAAACCCTCAAAGAAAGCCTTCCAGCAACTTCCGAGCTGAAAAGAAGAACAATTTTCTTCGAGGTTGACGCATCTAATGACACACGAAGGTAAAAGTGCGCGGATGACGAATCAACACAAAACAGAGAAGAATGTGTTGCATGAAATAATGAAGAAGGTAGACTGCCAGGTTTTCCAAATCACACTAGTTACACAATTTTAGCCAACAGTGGAAAAGAACTACACTTTCTTGGTAGAAGATTTACAAATTTCGAAAGAAAAAACAAATGGCGTAAGTCTCCAACGAAAGCTGTGCTCATAATTACATTCTGATGCAATGCAACTTTCGAATCGAAAAATGCAATTTCAAAATGAAAGTGCCGTCTGAGCTGCTCTACGGCCAAACATGTTTGGACATGTTCGCATAGGGCACGTTACCCTCCAAACAAGTTTGTATGATGTTTTTAAAAATAAGCATGTTGTATGAAAAGGGATTTATTGAAGTATTACGCACCGCGTCATGTTTGCTTTCAAGCCATTTCTTCATCTTTACTAGAAAGAGAATGGGACTTGTAAATAAATTTCCGGAACTTTGAGCACACTGCTGAGACAGGCAGTCTGTCTTTACACAGAAGACACATGAAAATGCGTCCGAAGATGGGGTTGGAATGGGTGGTGGCAGATGTGCTCGGAATAATACAGCTATTTTGCAAAAACAGTAATTATTTCAAAAAATAGCTTGGCCTATCACCCGCTCTGCAATGCCATTCAGACAATATTGGAGCTGGTGAAGTTCTGATCGTTAATGTACGAAACATATACTCAAATCATTTACTCAATATGTATTTGGCTGATGAGCTCGGTATGCACAAGTGTGTGCTTGAAAGTTGTTTCGAGAGTTTCTGTTTATTTTGTTCTTTCTTCTTAAGCCATACACGAGATTGGGAATCGATTTATTATTTATTATTTTATATTTAATCTTATTTATTATTATTTAGTTTCTATTCAGTTACTTTGCTTTTTAGGCTCGTGATTACAGAAGATACAAATGATAAGTAGGATATAAATAAAATAGATTTCCACACGTTTGATCCGTTAAGAGGGTGTTCAGCAACATCTATCGATGAGAAGTCGTGGGATGTTGCGCGCGGTGTGCGAAGTCACACATAAAGCTACTCATTAATAGGTTTTAGCTGTATGGAAATGTCAACAGAACGAGAACTTAGAAAAAGAGAATGTTCGAAACGTTTAGTTGGCTAAAATCGATATCTGGGCAAAAAATGCGTCGAAATGCTATGGACTATTAGATAACCTTTTGAATAGCTTGCTTGAAAAACGCATTGTTAAATCCTTATTCAACAAAGAAAGAAGGGCTAGTTCGTGTTCAAACTTTTTTCATTGAACAACCGAACACACGTCTGTATGTTCTAGAGAAAACGTTGAATAATTACTGGAAAAAGATCAAATGGCGTTTTTTTTTGCCTCTCCATTACTTCCAGAGTTCAGCACTGTGATTGATAATCGGGGGCGGGGGGGGGGGGCGAAAGTTTCTCATCCGAGCCATATTCTCGCACCTAAGTGATGTGCCTGCCGCCTGCCAGGCATATCCGGGCTCGCTATAATTACGAGCTCCTCAGAAGACCAAGGCATCGCAAGCTCCGCCCCTTATCCAGTGTCGCTCCAAATGGTGAAATCGGAATTCCAAAGAAATTTTCAAAATCGAAGTTCTGAAGTGTATGTGCTCCATTCAAGACCAAATTTCGAATTTAGGGGTGTTCGAGGTTGCTCTTTTCAGTAGTGAGATTTGTTTGTTGCAAAGTCAACCTTCAGCCCTCTAATGCTTTACCAAGATCCATATTCGGATTTGTATGAAATTTAGTCCTGAATACAAGAATATGGTTGAATCCAAATAGATTGAACCAAACTTTGAACTGGCACGAGTATGAAAATTATTCGTATATATCTAGAATAAATTCATTCACTGAAATTCATTTATAAACAAAATTTCGAAATTTCAAATTAGCAAATGCACTTCCGAACTTCGATTTTGAAAATTTCTTTGAAATTCCGGTTTCATCATTTGGAGCGACATTGGATAAGGGGGCGGAGCTTGCGATGTCTTGGTCTCCTGAGGAGCTCGTAATCGTAGCAAGCCCGGATATGCCTGGCAGGCACATCACGGTGCGAGAATATGGCTCGGGTAAGAAACTTCCCGCACCCTGATAATCGGAACAAATTTTGTATGAGCAACTGCTTGGCGTTTTTTTTCTTGAGAGAAAATTCTGCGCATTTCGAAAATGTTATCAAGATCTTTGAACTAGGATAAGGATCACGTCAATCATATCTTAATTCATGTACGAGCTAAATAGTTGTTGCTTAATCAAATTCAAACTGTTAGTAATTTTTTTGTTTTTCTCAAGTGACATCGGCAAGAAAACACAGTTTGTAGGGTGGTGAATCTGGAGCAGTTAGACTATGTCCGTTGCGGACAGCTGGTACGGACAATAACAAGTAGAGATGATTGGTTTGTGGCAGATCCGCGCTGGTGCAGCCTAGCGAATGCAGCGTGTTCTCCTCCCGTTCATGGCATGCTTATATTCACATTTATTTGCCCTATGAAGAGACCCTTTCTTGCATCATCAAGGACCTTTAGTGCACGAATAAGATTTCTGCAAGCTGGCATTAGTGCAAGCAATATTTCTCACGTTTTCGCTATTGGCAACGAAGTACAAATGAATAAATCGTTTTGCATTTCTTAATTAAGTTGGTCACTAATGCGATCGAGGGTCTCGGGAAAAGAAAGCTAGACTGACGCAAAAGCGAATCGAGTTGACTGCAAAAGTAAAATCAAAGTGTAGAGTGTATAGAACCTGATTCTCCGCTATGTGATTGGTTGGCTCCGCCTTGCGGACTATATCATTGGTTGAAAGTGCCATCACCATAGCAGAAGCCAGCGGGAGTTTGTAATATGTAAAGCGGAAGCCTTTGAGGTTTTGCTGTCTAGCTTTAGTGGAATCGCAAGAAAAAATATTGCAGTCTCGACATTGACTAAATATAATGAGATGACGTTCAAAAGAACAAGCTAGTCTATCTTGTTACTAGACTGAGAAGATTCTGTATCACAACTAGAAACCTGCAGTTTTGGAGTTTACATACAAAGTTGGGAATCTATGCGGAGACTTTTTTGTGTCAGTTAGACGCGCTACACAACAATCAAACAGTAACCCACTTCCGTTGACAATTCACATCCGTGCCACTAGTAGTTTGATAAGTTTTGACGAATTAAAGTACTAGAAATTGTACTATCTTCATGATACTGCTGAGAAAGCTGAGCTACGTCTAATCAGGTGTTGTATCACCACCCGAGCATGGCATCCCGATGTACTTCAAGCAATTCAATTCATAAACTAGTGGTTGAAAAGCTGATATACATTTTGACAGATGTCACAAAGAAGGAAAAAACTAACAGTTATCCGCATCACAAAAAATAACTCGGCGAAATGACTTCCGTTCCGTCTCAGAACTGTCCCTGTTGTGTGTATAGCGGATTCAAAAACGAAGGCGGCTCAAAGAAAGCTACGATGCGTTGTCGGCTTTGGCAACCTGCCATGGACTTGCGCGTAAAATTGTCTATAGAGCGCTTATTACCTAGGCGCAAATATTGTCGGTGACCTAAGAACACCATATTAAGCCAAATCTACTAGGATTAATGCAATCGTAAGAAGCAAGGCGAGTATCTTTGCCGGAGAAAATGGAAGGCAACAAAAATTTTTTTCCTATAAAACAAGCGCCCCGTTTTTAGTGTGTACAGTGTCCTAAAACGATATGATGCCAGAAATGAGCGTGGCCTCAGCTACCCGCACTTCTCGTGACTTCTTGGAGTAGAATAGGTACGGAAAATGAAACATTTACCGCGATTTTTTGTTGGTATTCTTTTGTGTAAACACTTTACGTCATGAAACATTGTGAAGTTACAGTGGGCACGTGGAAATAAGATTAGAAACAACCCTTCTATAAAAAATCTCGTAGAGACTAGTTATTAGCAGAAGCGAAGTAGTGCTCTGAGGTATGCATGGAATACATAATGCGTCAGCGCTGAGAAAGTACATTACCGAGTTTGACGAGGTGATGATAGCTTGTCGTGCACGTGTGTCGAATGTTGGCGTAGTACGCATAAGTTAAATGTGAGAGCACATTTTACAACGCGACTGCGATCAACGAGCACGACTGTCCGATGCCGCAAATTCCTTTGTTTCCCGTTGCTGTCAAAGCCGTGATTGTGACATTAATCATCCTACACGTGCATCTGTGGAAGTGCCAAGTGATAAGACCGATATTTTTTATGTCTGTTTTCACTTTGCGGTTGCTTCGACTTTGGCACAGAAAATTCTCAGAGGATTAGTAAAAATTCTTTTGGCTTATCGCTTTTCAGAGGTGAAAAGGTAAAAAGCTGTCCGAGAAATCTTTGCTTGGAAAAGAGGTGAGGGAAAACAACGACGAAATTGCCATCCATCAAAAAAAAATGTGTTAGACGCTTTCTGAACCTTTGAGATTCTAGTGATTCCAAGGATAAAAGTCACACGCACGATTCTATAATACATCTAGGTCACATTCGTAATTTGCGACCCATTCTGGGCTCTATACATTAGGATTGGGTCAAAACATTGGAATGTTTACGCATTGTTGATGGACTTCGAAAATCACCTTTCAAATTTTGAAAACTTTAGTTACTTCGTTTAGAACGTTGAATGCATACACGAAATTTCGTATCTTTGAAGCAAGTTTCTATATTTTACCCAACAAATGAGATAAAACAGTGTTGTAGCTAGACAAAGATTCGCATAGAGTTAATAGATAACCTTTGTCTCGAATAATCATAGTTTTGGTTTCTCTACTTGATTTAGGGAATGAAGCAAGATCAAGGTTTTGATTTCATGATGCTAAAGTAATGAAGTAGATATTTCATTCTCGATAACTAAAATCCAAATTTGATCCAGATTATTTAGGACGAATTTGTGATTAGACAATCAAAATGTAACATCAGCGTGCAGCAAGGAAAACAAATAATGATTTTCATGTTGACAATTTT